GCAAAGAGCAGGCCGAGACTCAATCCCAAAAAAAAAAAAAAAAAAAAAAAAAAAAAAAAAAAAAAGAAAGAAATACTGTTGGTCCTTTTGGTATTTTTCACTTTGATTGTTATATGTTTGCAAAGCAAGACTTCTTGGTTTTATGTTTAAAACTGTTCATATTATTCCAGTTGTGTCTCTGGGTTTTAGAATTCCTATTGAGTTCTAAAATATGACTGGCAATAGTTTACAACCCCCCTTACTATCATAACAAAAATAAAATGGATTTATTAGGAGTGTAAATTATTTACAGAAAAAACCTTCATAAAAAAGACAAAAGCGCTTCATGTAATATAAAATATGTAGAGATAAGGAAAAATGAACATTTTAATATGCTTACTGGTACTATCAATTTTATTTGGATGTGAGACTAAATCATCATTTATTTATGTGCCAGCTACACTACTCATTTATTAGTCAAATAATCAAGACTTTTATAAAATAGCCTGACCACTTGATAAAAAAAGAATCTGTAAATACAATTCTCTTCTCGGAGGAGCTAAGAAATGTGATAAATCATGAAGTTACTGGCCTCACTCATTGCTCGCCAGTAAATGCAGCTTCGTCCTCACCGATGTGCTCCCTCCGAAGCAGGTGTCAAATAAGCCAGTCTTCCGTCCCGTGCATTTCTAATTCTCGTTCAATGTCCCTTTCCAGCTCGTGTTAACTGTTGGGTTGCTGGCTGTCGTCGTGTACCTCTACACGGTTGTGGCGTTCAATTTTTTCCGAAAATTCTACAACAAAAGTGAAGATGGCGATGCGCCCGATATGAAGTGTGACGATATGCTCACGGTGAGTTGATGACCTTGGGCCTCGCACGATGACAGGATCACCCTGTTCCTTCAGCCCGAGTGACTGGGTGTTCTGTACCAGTGCAGTATAAAAATACTGGACACGATAAACACCTCACTGGCTCTTTGAAGAATCCCCAATTTTCATTTTTTTTGCAGATTGTGAGAAGGACCATTTCTGTTATTTTCCCACATCTGCTGCCCAGCCTGGTAATTAGTAAAAGGCCAAGGAACATAGTTAAGAGTGGGACGGACAATGCCGTTGCTCTGACTTCTTGTTCATACATTCCGGGATAACAGATAAAATTATTTCTCAAAAAGCATTTTGAAGCATTAACTTATTGTTTGCCTCAGTAACTTTACCCAAAGTTAAAATCCAAGATGAAGCGCTTAATAGAACCACTACTTTGTGGTTTTATACTGAATACCTTGGCTTACATTTTTTTCTGGTCTTGTTTTTCAAAAACCAACAGATTTTTCAAAATCTCAGGTCGCTTTTGTCATTGTTTTACAACCTTCCGCATCAGAATAATGTAATGCAATAATATAATTGTAATAATAACAATACCACATCAGACATGATCACATATGAGAGACTGGAGAGGAGAGGGAAAATTAGACAAATTGCGTACGGTTAGCTAGCGAGAGCTGGGTCTGACAGTGAGCTCTTCAGGGAAATACCTACATAACTGGGGTTGTGGGCGGATGTCGGGGGGCTGCTGTAATAATAGCAAAATTACTCGAGAAAAAAAATAGGCATCCTGAAAGTGTGATAGGGGAGAACTACCAATATTATAAAGACTACTTTTTTGTATTAGAGGTTGATACATTGGCGAAATCTAGAGTAAGACAGGTGGAAACTAAAATGTGATAAACGTGTAACATTTTTGAAACCATGAAACGAAAAGTAACTTAATAAATGGTAGTTATAGTGTGGACAGGCTGCTGGGGGGAAGGGGTTCAGAGGGATACTCTTTCAAGCAGTAACAATTAGCACATAGTTGGCTCCTAAAATAAGAGTAATAATGTGTAAATGAGGAAATGCCTTTTAGAGTATGATATAAAACCTAGGATCTGTGAAAATGTAAAAATTATCTTCAAAAAGAACAACTATAAATGAATATTAACGGCAAATAATAAATTGGCAAATATATATTCAGTATCATAAAGGACCAGTTTTCTTTGCTGTTGTGTCATTGAAATGAGAATAGCTTGAGAAAATGGGTACATTATCTACCTGGGCAGACACTTTACAATAAAATGAATTCAGTGGGTTAGAAATAGGGAAAGATGCTCAGCCTCTACCATTATGAGAGAAATGAAGGGCAAAGTGATAAAAAACATTTTTCATTGTAAAGCAAAAAAGTATTAAAGCTTGCTAGCACCTGCAGTTGGTCAGTCGATGGGAAAACCAGCACTTTCTTGGTGCTTCCTGGGAATTTGAACTGATACAACAATTTCAGAGAAACTCTAAATAGCTATCACATGTTTAAATATTCTTCCTCTTTGACCTGTTGATTCTACTGCTAGTTACCAAAAGGTTTACTTATAAATATGCTTCTATATGTTCAGGGCATTAGCTGTTCCCGCAGATTGGAAATAATCTAAATTCTCATCAGTAGAGTCCTGATTAAAATCTGTTAAAATATGCAGCTATTTTAAAATGATATGCTGATTTTAATTGCCTCTAAGTGTGTGTGTTTCAGGGGTAAGATTCTAAATAGTATTATCAGATCAGAGTAAGAACTCAGATCAGAGGAGAGAAAATGATGTATGATTTTCATTTTTATGCTTTCTCCTGTCTGGATTATTACTGTTTTCTTTTTCACTACATGCCATTTTTAAAAGTTTTTTTTATTTTTAGAAGGCAAAAATTTCTTTTCTTCGTCGTGCTGTAAAAGAAAGCTTAATTCAATTATTATCAGAATTAGTGTATCAGCACTCTAAGAGGTTGAGGCAGGAGGATCACAAGTTCAGGTTCAGCCTGGGTCACTTAAAAAAGATCCTTTCTCAAAAAAAAAAAGGTGGGGAATGGAAATTAGTAAATTAGTGTGAAGGCCCTGGGTTCAATCCCTAGTGCTACCAAAAATTTTTTTTGAATGTTACCATATATATGGATGATTTCCTGTCAGGCAGAAGGGGGCAGAACATGCAGGAACCTAATGTAGGCAACTAACAGGACATTCATAATTTTCACATACAGTGATACCTTTGTTGTCAAACTCAATTTGATCAAACTCGTGTTCCAACACCAAAAAATTTGAGAACTGAACACTTGTTTCCCTCAGAAGAAATAATGGAAAACCAAATAATTGGTTCTGAGGAAAAAATTATACTTATAAATTCATTTTTCTAAGACTTTGACACATTTCACAATAATATCTTTAACTCTGTCATGGTTCTCAGTTTTCCCCTTCGCTTTACTGCTCATATCGCTAACTTTCTTTGGATCTGTGCTTGTGATATTTTATGAAAATAAAGTGCAAAAAAGAGACAGCACAATGACAGGTATTGTAATGAGCTAACACAAGCGCTATTTGTTATCGGGGCCAGAGATGCACTTAGCCTGAAGAGTTGCTGCTTTGTGTCCATGTCCAGACGCAAGCCTGTACAGGTTTTTTCAAGTCACATTTTCATTTTAACTAGCAAGCAAAGTTGGGAACACCAAGATTTTTTTTTCTGTTGAATTGTGCTGCTCAAGTGTTGTAAAGTTTGAGCTGCAGCCATTGGATAACTGAGGAGTTGCTGCATTTCATATCATTACTGTCCTGGAGATGTTTTGTGTGTGACTTTATGATTTCTGTGTGCCAGTCATCTATTTGGAGAACACAGTGTGAGCTCTAAAAGAAATAAGATGGTTCTGCTTTTCATCCACAGACTTAATTCTCCAAACAGAGGAAATACCGTCTCAGTTATAGGTTCACAAGTTAGATTACTCACTTATTAATCAAGAACTTGGGTAGCACTTGCATGAAATGGTATCATTCCAGGTGTTTTCCTTGGTGCTTCACAAATATTAATTCCTTTAACAACACCGTGCTGAAGATAAGCTGCCATTTGCCCTCTTTACAGAGAAGGAAACTGAGATGCCGATCACTCAGATAACTTGTTATAAAGACCACGCATTATAAGGAAGAGGCCAGACTCTTTGACCAGAATTCTGTGCAGAGATCCATTATAGATATCATCCAGGTCAGTCTTGAGCTAACAATTTAGTGACGTTTAGTAGCAAAGACCCATCAGAGGGAAGACTTCAGTAAGCACAGTGCCCGCCCTCAAGGAACTTACATGTTGAAGATGTTTCTCGAAATCCTGATGAAGCTTATTCCTTTTCCCAGAAGAGAATGTCCCAGAAAGTCTAGGGGTTTGGGAGTCGTTGCAGAGCACGCAGTTTGTAGGTGGAAGGCAGGAGTAAGTTCATGTGGCAACTTTTGGTGATCGCTTAGGTGGCAGAAGCCATCTGGGACCATGGTTTTGTTTCACATGCCGGGGTGAGACTTCTGCACGCCCTATGGTCATAGTCGATGCTACCAAAGTTATAATTGGAGCATCGTTCCACCACTGCACCATGACTCGCATGCTCCGTGTGTGTTTTCATGATTCGCTTAGGCAGACCGTGGCCTTCACTTGCTCGATGTTGCTCTGGATCCCAAGGACAGAAATCTGTCTCGTTTCAGGATGATGGGCTACCCAGACTTTCTCACATTTGAGGGATTTCTGAGAGTCTCAATGAGTGAGATTCCTTGCCTAGGTCTGTTGTGGATTTTTATCGCTCTGCTCAGAACCATAAACTTCCCGTCTTGCCTCGGGTTGGGGTGAGGGTAGGGATATCGTGAGGATGGACGCCATATGTTCCTCTGTAGAAGGGAAGACTCAGCTCCCAGATGCCAGTGTGTTCAGGTCTTAGCCCGCTCATGAGGACATGCTCCTGTGGTCAGTGGAGACAGCCGGGTATCTACAGAGCTGCACACGCTCAGAGCCAGCTAACTGTCGCAAGCAGGCCACGTTACCTAGGCTAACCTTACAAGCTTAGGGGCAAAGCGCCCTGTATTTACTGGCTTCTCACTCACACATGTACATCAGCTCCTACAAAAAAGCCAGCACGATCTGAAATATGCCTGATCACTTCCTCGTCATGCCCTTTTCAAACAGAAGCAGACTGTACAAGGCAGCAGCAGTGGAGAAGCATGCAGCAGGAATAGCCTGACTTAACATCTGTACTTTAGTACTCCAGAGGGAATCTTCTCTCTGTGACATTCCCTTTAGCAGCACAGGGTGAAGTCTGCATTGTGTATGAAGTCTAGATTCCTCTTTTCCCCTGTGTCGCCAGCCTCTGCTGTTCGTTCTGGCTGTGTCCCAGAAACATTTCCCAGACTTCACTTTAAACTCCCACGGTTTACAGCAGGTGGCGCTGTTGCCACAGATTTACACAGTGATTCACCTGGAACCCCCCCCCCCACGCCTGCCATTATGGTGTTTTGAGTCTGAAAATCTAATTAAACCAGCAGAGTCCTAATAGAATTTGAACCTCTTCTCCAAGAATGTGGGAGGATAAAGTGAAAAATGATCTATAGTCCACGATAAAAAGGCGATTGTAGCTAGGTAGCTGAGGATATGACTTGGACACACACAGGGACATCTGTCTCTAAATGCCAGGAATCCCTGGGGCAGCTCCATAAACCCACAGAGCTGGTAGCTCAGCCAGACTCTTGAAGAGAGGCCCAGGGAGGCTCTGAGGTCCGTGTGCTCTGGAAAAGGCTCTTCAGGTGAGGGAGACGAGGAATATGCTCCTGAGATTACAACTCGTGGGAGTTGCTCTGCGTGACCCCCCTCCCTTGTGCTCACTCATGTCACAGACTGTCCCAACAAAGAATCCGCCTCTAATTCTCTCTCTGGTTTTTCTCTTTCCTTCTCCAAGAGGGAGGGGCAAAAGAAAGTCTTCTAATGACCTTCACCAACTCACCAGAAACTGTCCCTGGCTGTCACCTAACATTATGATCG